CCGCGTGCGTTGCCGAGTCGAGTTGAATTCAGAGAGGTCGAGCACTTTGATTTATAAGGCTACATTTGGGGCGGTGGGCCCGTCGACTATTTGGATCTTTTGTGAATCATGCCGAGGCGTTTTTGACTTTGATTTATAGGCTGTGCATATGCAGGGCAGACGCAGCACCCTATCCTACACCGCATGATGTCAAGCAAATGGCCAATTGCGCTGGGCATGAGCGACATACATAGTCGGCGCGGAAACGCAGACAACCAATTCTGCACATCTCGCTACAAAGTAAAAATCCTGAATGCAAAATATCAAAATGAAATTCCAACGTCGGGTGCAGACGGCATTGCTGCCGTAACCGAAATTGAGCTCAAAATTACGTTGCACTCGAATTTTCGACCGAAATTGGACTCTCGGTTCGCTTTTAGCCGCATAGTAAAATTTACGTAAAACCACATAATTGTGTCCAAATCATTTTGTTTATATGCGTTTAAGCGACCACATGCAGAAGCACAAAGCATATACATACATACATACCAGATGGTGGCTATTGCTACCTTACAAAAGTAGAACGCAGTTTGACACTATTAAGTATAATTTTTATACCCTTGCAAAGCAAAGCGTATTATAATTTTAGTTAGAAGTTTGCAACGCAGTGAAGGAGACACCTCAGACCCCATAAAGTATACATAGGTATATTCTTGAGGGGCTAGCAGAAAATTGCAAAAAATTGTCCGAGTTGAGCAGAAACGCTTTTTGCATATAAAAAATGAACGCCCGAGGTGAGCAAAAAACCGATAACGGTAAAAAAAATACATCCGAGTTGAGCAAAAACGCTTTTTGCACATAAGAAATCAATGTCAGAGATGCCACAAAATCATTATAAATTAAATAATTTAATTTTTCTAAAAAAAATTATTTTTGCAGTTTTCAGTTTATTTTTTTTTTTTTAGAAAAATTACCTAATAACCATATACACTGACGAGCAAAACTGTAACACGATTTCATTGTTTCAACTTCAAAGGTCTGTAACTTTTTTTCTAATGCACAGATTTTAAAGATCTTAGTCTGGTTTTGTAGGTTATATAATTTACTACTATTAAGTACCGTGCTTGATAGCGAATTGGGATACTGTAAGTCATTGCTACCAGTGTCTTAAAAAGCAAACAATTTCAAAATACCTACTTTTGTTTTCAAGGTTATATGGTCGGATGAAACAAAAATTAATCGCTTCGAGTCAGATGGGCGCTCTTGGTATTGGACTAGAGATCCCGCGATCCAGTCACCAAGGAGTGAGTGACAAACCGCTAGCGGTTCCATCATGGTTTGGGGGTGCATTTATTTAAATGGAATTGGTTCCTTGTTGATAATCGATGGAATAATGCGAAAGGAGCAATATCTATCCATTTTACAAGAAAATCTTCCAAAGGAATTTTGGTAAGTTGGGTCTTTCTGCCGAAAAATGCGTTTTTCAGCAAGACAACGACCCCAAGCACACGTCCATATTGGTAAAAAATTTGATTTCAAAACAGAAATTTCAATCTATGAAGTGGCGACCACAATCTCCCGACATTAATCCAACAGAAAACTTGTGGAGTCATGTGAAATCGCAGCTGGAGAAATATGCAGTTCCTCCAAGTGGAATGAAGGAGTTGTAAGAGCGGCAACAGGGCGTATGGAATGATATTCCCCCGGAAATGATACGACGGTATACCCAAAATATGCCCAGACGCATAAAAGAGCTAAAAAAGTCCAAGGGGATATGAACTCACTATTAAAAAATCATTAATAAAAATATTTCTTAAAAAAATAACCAAAGTGCAAAACTGTAACATTTGACTTTTTTTACAGTTTGGCGCGTCATTTTCTTCAACTGATATCAAATGGCTTTGAATTTTACTTAATAGTTGTAAATCATATAACCTACAAAACCAGACTAAGATCTTCAAAATGCGTGCATTATAAAAAAAGTTACAGACCTTTGAAGTTGATACAATGAACTCGTGTTACAGTTTTGCTCGTCAGTGTAGCAAATGTATTAATGCAAAAGTGCGCGCGCACAAAAAACTAAAAACTGAAAACATAACCTTTTTTTTTAATAATTACTTAATAATCATATATATGATTATGATTCATATATATATGCAAAAGTGCTATATTGATGAAACTTTCCCAAAAGTTGTGTACTTATTGCACGCAGTATATAAGTCGGAACGGGCCGGATCGGCCGACTATATCGGAGAGAATGAAATAAAAAATTCTCACACCATTGTTTTTGATCAGATCGACTTGATTTCTTCCAGATGGCGTTTTTTAACTACTATTGAATTTCGGTTTAAATGTTATCAAAATCGGATAACTCTATCATATAGCTGCCATAGGAAAGATCGAAAAATCTATATAGAAATATAGGAAATATAATTATAACTAGAGCTCGGATAGTTATGCACGAAAAAAGGCCAAAATATGCATGCAAATATGCACGAAAAATAGCAAAATATACTCAAGAATATGCATTCACAAATACAATAAAATATGAAAGAATCATGCAAAAAATAGTCATAATATGTTGGAAACGGCGGTTCTTTATTTAAAAGCTAATATTTTGCACAGATTTACATTAAACTTCGACAAATTTGGTGTGGTTTTGGTTCAAGATCCGATTTTAACGATTGGCTTCCCTGATCGGCATTTTCCTTCCTTCTATCTTTGGCAGCTTTGTGTTTTAATGATGCAATATGCTGATTTACTTGGAATATTTTTTTTCCTTGAACTGCACATTCACAATACGTACAAAATAAAACTGACCTATTTTTGACTTTCATTCTCAATATAAATTTGATTTGAAACAACCGATAACTTTGAATGCCACGAGACGAATGATACTTTAAGAATATAATAAAGCGTTTATTATGAATAGTCATTGAGAATCCATTAATAAGTTATCAATGTACCTAGTGTTGATAATTTGATGAAAATAAACAACGTGAAAGTCAATTTACTTTCAATTCCACGCAATAATCTTAAACACAATAAGATAGATTTGTAATAGAATGTATTAAGTTTTTTGTTGTTATTCGCATCAGAATGATTTTCATATGTCACAGCTAAATTATTGTCAGTTTTTATGAATGAAATATTAAAATATGCTCGAACATGCATTTTCGATCAACATACATATGTATGTACATATGCTCTAAGGAATGAAATATGCACTATATGCATGCAACATGCATTTGCATGACTATCCGAGCCAGTGGCGGATCCAGAGACGATTCTTGGGGGGGGAAATTGAACTTATTCTTCGATTTGAGGTTCAAACTTATTATTGCGAGAGAAATACAGTTCAAATTATAAAACAAAAATTATCCATCCCAATTTTTTGGTAAACAAAGTGGTTATATTTAAAAAGTCAACCATATCAAACAAGTAAAATTTTCAGGTTCTCTGGTTCCAAGGGGGGGGAAATTTCCCTAATTTCCCCCCCCGTGGATCCGCCACTGATCCGAGCTCTAATTATAACTTCGTTATTTGATGTCTGCAATTTTTGTACATGCAATACATGCATAAATAGTGGAGGTAAACCAGCCCTGCAGTACTGGAGGTGGCGATTGGCCTTGCGTAGTTGCTTACTTCGTCGGTTACTATATGGGTACTTACTATACTGACCCTACGGTAAACGAGCTGCGAACCACCCTGCCATGCGTAGTTGCTTACTTTGTCGGTTACCATATGGGTACTTACTATACTGACCCTACGGTAAACGAGCTGCGAACCAGCTACTAGCTAGATTCTACATGGGTACTTACTTTGGTGACCCTAGGGTTATCGAACGCCGAACCACCTAATAGAAATATGTATGCACACGAAAGGATAAACGAAAATTCATAATAAAAAAATAAGCAAATAAGCAAACAAAGCAAGCCTTTGTTTTTGATATTTTGAGCAAAAGGGCAAAGTAAAAGTTGAAAGCATAACTTCGATTACAGTTAGATCTATTTATGTTGCGCCGTTCTTTCGCTGAAACGCATTTGTGTTTGCCGGTTGTCAAAGTTATTCTAAGCATTGCAGTTGAGTGGAAAGAAGCGGAGCAAACGCAAATTAATTGGTAAGTAAAACTAATTATATTAAATATAAAATTTTCTTTTAACCGCAATTCGTATTTATTTCGTTTACAGATGGATGCAATAAAAAACATAATTGTCAATGACGGAATTTGAAAAAATCTGAGAAATGTTATGGCTAATGAGGTGGTTTTGGCTTATAATATAGATGGTGTTCAGGGGAAAGCGGCCTTAAAAAAGGAAATAGATTTCTATGGTGTTATGATTGGTAGGTATTTATAATCAGGCCTGTTAAATTTAAATTAAGATTAATAATCATTAAATTTTTCTTATTCCCAGATTCCATAAATGCAGTTGGAGGTATTGGGTCAGCTGAGGACCAGCTTCGAAAGGCATTGCAGCTCCAAAAGAAGAGGCACTTTAAAAACTCTACCGTTAACAAAAAAAATGAAGAAAATGTATTTATTTAAAAATAAAAAATAAGTAAATTAATAATGCATTTCAACAATTGTTACTTCTATTATTTTTTAATTAATAATGGGTACTTACATTACCGACCATTCTATGGGGTCCCATGTAAGTACTTACATTTCCGACCATTCCATGGGGTCCCATGTAAGTACTTACATTACCGCCCATTCCATGGGGTGCCATGTAAGTACTTACATTACTTCCCTTAATATGGGGCACTATTTCACTAGTTCCTGGGTATACGACACGGTGGCGATTGACCCTATTTGCGGACATTTCATACAAAAATGGAAATGAAAGATCGCATTGCTTGGGGCCGAAGGGTAAGTAGGGGTGGTCTACTGGTAAGCACTTATTTCACCAGCTACGAACCAGCGCGCAGTACTGCAGGGAGGTGATACATTTAATTTATAATAACTGGGTTCTTTTGGACCTAAGAACTTCAGCTCCGTTTTTTGTTATTATAGCTTTATATTTTTGTTTTTGTAACATATTTTAACCGCTATAGGCAAACACTATTTTAAGGTCTTTGCTTACATTTAATTGATTAAATTACCAACTTTAACATGAAAATTAAAAATTTAAATCAGACTATTCCTTTAAAATCATATTAAATTTGCTTATGGCCTCGCTAACATATTTCTCCTTTTCGACCAGCTCGCATTTTAGCTGGGTGCGCAGTTGCTGCAAATTGGGCATTGTGCGACAGTCACGAACGTTCAGCAGTGTTCGAAAGATATTTTCCCACATTTGCCGCTGGAAGTAGCGCGGGATATTTGCCTTTGGCATCCAAACGGTGCTCGGAGTTCGCGGCGCCACCTCCATGTACCGGCCGAAGAGCAGCACATGCATGACACTGACCAAGCCAAACAAATCAAGTTGATAAGTCCATGGGCGCTGGGTCCGCATCTCAATGCACTTGAACAGATCGTCATGATGGACATAATTAAATGTCTGGTTGTTCGGAAAGAGCTTAGTGTCAATAGACACACCGAAGTCGATAAGTTGCAGGCTTACTTCATTGGGATTCGCACACAACCTGGAACAGAAGGAACAAATCAGTTTGGCTGATAAACAGTTGAATAGTTTGCATGAAGATTACGGTCTCATTAAAAGGAAGTTGTCTGGCTTGATGTCAGCGTGAATAATGCCCATGGCGTGCAGGTGATCCACAATGTCAAGCATCTGGCAGCTCAAATGCATTACCACATATTCGTCCATATTCCTGTTGGTGGCACTCTTTACCTTGTTGCACACATTGATCAGGGATCCGTACTCTGAAAACTCCGAAATGTATACACTTGAATTGTTGCCGACAAGGGCATAGTCAATGTGTGAGTAGGCTGCAATCTGAAAATAACAAATCAAAAACAAGAAGGAAAGTTAAAGTCGATCGACTATATGGTCGCAGTTGCTTCCTTCTGTGGGTTACACACTTCTCTTAGAAAACAAGAAAAGAATATAGCTTCGGCAAGCCGAAGCTTATATACCCTTGCAGCCATCTAACACGTCGAACAAAATAAATAAAAGCTCAACAACATCGAAGCTATGTCGATTTTTCTACTAATTTTGCATATTTTCAACTTTTGTTCATATGGCAGCTATATGATATAAAATTTAATTGGTAATTCAAGATTCTATATAGATTTTTGACCTTTTCTATGGCAGCTATATGATAACGTTGTCGGATTTTGAAGAAATTTTTTTCTCAATTCAAGGGTTATTAAACAACTTTATATTTTGAAAATCATGCTCGTGGAATTAAAAATAACGACGTTATAATTTTTTTCCAATATTTCTATACATATTTTTCTATCTTTCCTATGGCAGCTATATGACAGAGTTATCCGATTTTGATAAAATTTAATTCGAAATCCGATAGTGGTTAAAAAACACCATCTGGAAGAAATCTAGTCGATATGATAAAAAACAAAGGCGTGAGAACTTTTTTTCAATCTCTTGTATGGGTGCTATTTTGGAATTCCAGCATGCGTTTTGAAGGTTGATTTAAGCGGAATTAATGCTTAAGCAATGCACTTTTATAATAATTTCTGGGACAGAAACAAAGGGTGTTTAAACTTACCATTTGCTCACTGGTTAAACGGCTGTGAATCTCCAAACATATGTAGAACTCCCAGTAGTTGGTTGGCCTTTCCTGCTTGAGGGCCACCTTCTTGCCGGACTTGAGATGCCGTCCTACATAAACCGAACCGTACGCCCCCTTGCCTATCATCTTAGATACCTCAAACTTCTCGTCGTGAACTTCCAGCAGGGTGTTAGGATGCAAGCGCCTGACATGACCCACCAGGTGGCAGTGCGGCAGTTTTTCAATGTACATGGAAAAATCAATTGACTCTAAAAGCGAACTAATAAGCTCAACACTGAAAGGATTTCGATTGGGGTCGGCCAGAGTTTCATTCAATACGGTCTGGTTGACATTGGTCTTGGGGTGCACGTACTGCTCTCTCGGGGGAGTCTCCAAGTCAGACTGCGACCAGGAGCGGTGCGACTGCTTTGGCGTCACCGGTGTTGTCTTGTAGTAGATACTTAGCTCCGCCGATTCAGCCTCTTCTGCGGAAGGATTTTGGACCGGCGGTGGGAGCAATGTCGAGTTTTTGATCATACTTATGTTAGTGGCAAACATTTCAGTGGCTGCGTTAAGCTCAAAAAATTGGTCAGAGGTCTTTGAGACATCCGACTTCTCTTTCGGGGGGGATTTTATAAGAGATCCTGTTATGGAACTGGTAAAGGACTTGAGCGTGGACGAACAATTTTCGGGATTTGTTGTGACAATCTTTGGAGGCATCTGCGGCGGACAGCTGCTTATTTCAGTGCAATCCTTCATAAACGAAGCAATCATATGGGACTTCCCGACTGTTTCCTGCTTGTCAGCTGGCTCCGCATAAACTGACTGCTGGGTTTCTGGCAGTGTGCAATCCAGTGCAAAACTGCAACCCTTTGAAGATGTAGTTTTTAAAGCCGGAATCTCGGGCTGGGTATTGTCAAGAAAGATTTTAAAGCTTTTCAGCATGGACTCTGAGTTTGGCTTGGGAAAAGTTCCTGGCTGTGTCTCGGGCACAAAGGAAAGCTCATTCATAAAGGAGTCTTCCACTTTTGCAACTCCAAGTTTGCTGCTGGCCTTTGTTAAGGATCCGATAGCATCTTTTGCGCCACTGAACGAATTAAAAGGATCGGAATCTTCCGGGTTCCAGATGCGCTTGGGAGAGCCAAAAGTTTTTGTTTTCGGCGGTGTCTTCCCAAACAATCCGCACAAGTCGCTTTCGTCATCCATATTGGGAAGTTGTGGTGGAGATGAGCATATTTCAGCAACCTTCGATCGGTGAAGCAAAGAAATCTCCGGCATAGCAGTGGGCATTCGTGGCAGCGTTTCTGTTTTGTCTTCCTGAAAGCAGGCCAGAACTTGGGGAACACGAGGCAACGTTTCGGTTTTGTCTTCTTGAAAGCAGGTCAGAGTCCTAGGAATTGTCTCTGTTTTATCCTCCTGAAACCGCAGTGACTTAAGCATCGGCACGCTAGGGGCATTGTGTTCCCAAAACTCGCGGCGGAAAAAGTTGTCCCCACCCTGTTTTTCCGGCTCCATGGCCACAGTGGGTAGCCCGGGATTTACCAGGCGCTGCAGGCGAATTTGCCCTGGAGTGCACTCTTCATTTTTGCTCGTCAGTTTTGCAGCTGTGTAGGATCCAGGAGAAGAAGTGATAGTCGATTTTGTGGTTGCGCCGCTAGCTGCCAGGCTCTGAGTGCCATGCTCAGAGGTCTCCAGTATGGTGGATAACTGTTTCCGCAAGGTGGGAGAGCGTGATTCCACTGGAGACTCGACAGCAATAGCAGCTGCTGGCTCCTCCACTGGCGGCAGTTCTTTAAGCACAGTTCCAAATTGTCGTGATGGGGCTTGCTTTTGTGTGCCTTTGGGAGTACTAACCGCCTGCGATTTTATAAACATGTTAAACATTTGCGTAGAGCAAGTCTCATCCTCGTCGAAATACGGTCCAGTGCTTAACGGCTTTGGTTTGTGCGTTGGCTGAAGGTCTTCTGTGTCTTCATAGATCTCTATTTTGCGTACAGGAGGCGCTGGTATTGCGAATCTGTCGTCTGACGATCCGACAGAATCCTCAAGTATTTCAATTTTCGGCATTTCAGATTCAATAGAAGGCTGAGAGGCGCTTGCCGCTGGCGGCAGCGTCGAGGTGGGTTCCACTGCAGCATTTTCCTCAACCTTCTCATCCTCTTCCTGAACCGTGGAAACTCTTCGTGGCATCATGGATTTCCTGGAGGATGTTGGGAAGAAACTCTTACGGCGTGGCATCTTGTTTCCGGGCAAGCAGACCGTTTCCTCCATGTCGAACTCTCCATGAACTGTGACATTGCGCTTTTGCAGCCACTTGGTTGCCAGCAACTCTTCGGGTTGGTACTCTTGCTGTTCCTCGTCGTTATAAAGTTTGTCAAAAACAATTTGAAGACCGGGCACCACCGGGGGCTTCCAATACTTATCTAGCTCGTCGAGCGGCTGCGACTTGGAAACGGTGGCGAAGTTTGGATAGCAGCGCACTCCCCTTAGCACTTTACCACCAGTGCCCCACCACTCGTCGTTGCGCTGGACTAAAGGGTGCTGTATATCGCGACGTTTTAGGTAGACGAAGGCGCGGTACTCTTCTGGCGACAACTCGAGGTTAGGGCGCGGGTAAAACAGACATTTATCGTAGCAAGGTAGTCCTTTTGCGTTCGGCTCGTCCTCAATGGTAACTGGCGTCACCCAAGCTTCCTGAGGTTTGTTCTTAGGCACAAAGTTTGGAGGAATCCTAAATGGTTGTTCCAGGCGACGTTCGTAGTTGGTGATGGGTGGCAGCGCCTGTTCGTCCACGTGTATGTCAAAGCCAAGGTTCGGCGAGGTGTTACTGCCAAAGATTTTACCTTGCTTGTGGCGTTTTGCATGCGCTTTGTTCCAGGAAACGGGTTCTTTAATATTTTCCTGCCCGCGAGCAGCGTCTATGATCGAACGAAGGCTTGACTTTACCTCCGGCTCGGGCACAAGCAGCGGTATATTCTCCTCAGCGTTTTCGTCGTTGAAGACTTGCACGTTACGACCAGCATTACGCAAACCACTCGAGCTTGGAGCATCCGTCTAAACATCGAAAAATATAAATATGTATATAAATTTACGGAAAAAATTGTTTTATCAAACAGAAAGAAGTTACCCACCTGAACCACGCCTGGCAAGCCACTCTTGACCGCCGCTCCGGTGCGTAGACTACCTACGCTAATAGTGTTGGAGCTCCGCTGGCGGCGACCGTGCAGTGACTGTAGCGCAAGCCGCCTCTCGTTGAGCTCCTGGTTAACAGCGATGGCCTCGTCGCCAGTGGTGTAGAGCATGCGTTGACCCACTGTGTAGCCAAAATGTTGGTGCGCCTCCCTAAGTTCCTCAAGCGGCTCTGCGCGGCAATCCAGTCCCAAGCGGAAGATCTCGTCAGCCTTGCGCATGTTGCCACTCAGATCAAGGCTGTACGCCCAGGCAATGTAGAAATCGGCTAGCATTGTCCCAATCCCGTGGTTGTACATTTGCTGGAAGCACTCGATCTGATCCTTTTGCTTCTCCATCTACCAACCAAAGAGATAAGCTATTTGGTTATGCCGACCTCCCATTAAAATGTAACAAGAATCTTACGAATTTTATAAAGAGCTTGATGAGCCTCCTGTCTTGCTTATACCGCTCATCGTCCTCGAATTTGGTAAGGCACTGGTGAATGGCCGCCTGCAGGCCGGAACCACTGCCACCCGCCGGAAAACTTTGTTCGATCCAGCAGATGTACTTGTACCATGGGTCAAGGGGATCGTCGCCAGCATAAGTGCGCACCTCCTCTTCCATTTGCCTGCGCTGAACCAATATCTCATTGCCGTGAGCCGAGTCCTGACTTAGCGAAGCCTGCAGCAGGCTTACATTGCGACCGCTAGCCAGCGGCTGGATGTTCTCTTTTGCTTTGTCAAAATCCATTTTGAAGTCCTTTGCGCACAAACACGGTCAAAGATTTTTCTTTGTTATTAAGCAGTTAACCAAAAATTCGCGCCGAAGGAAATGCTAAAGATGAACGAATTGATCTGTTCGGGATTTCGATAAGTGCACTTGGGTATGAATCGATACTTCCCATAAAACCTGTTTACACTAAGGGCTCGGCATGTATTACTTGGTATAAACTATTTTTCATGTTTGCCTTTATTCGCATTTATTATTAATATGGGTAAATGTTTACAATTGCGGTGCACGGTAAATACAGCTTAAACGATGTAAAATATGGAAACGATGTGTTTTTTCTAAAACTTCGAAAACACATCGTTTCCATATTTTACTTTATTTTTTTAAGCTGTATTTACCGTGCACCGCACTTGTAAACATTTACTTTAATATGTATTGGAAACTTGGAAAGAGATGATAATGTGAACTGTTTTGTTGAAACAAAAACCCTTTAAAGTTGATATACACAAATTAAATAATCGATAAACCTATTTTACAATCAACAAAATTGCTCTTGTCGTTTTGCCTAGCCTTAAACATCCAAGCATTTTTCTTGAAAGGTAAATCAAAGCCTTAAGTGTTTTTTTTATTTTCCTATCGCATATCGATAGTTCATAGAATTCACTCCGTTAGCCCTGGTTAGTTGCACTTAACGTTTTGCAAAGGCGCGCACTATCGCACTTTTTTTAAATTAAGATTAACCTACAGTGCAGTGGCGGATCCAGGATTTTGATAAGGGGGGGGTCCAAAATTTTTTAAGGGGGTGGTTGAAATTTTTTTTTCCCTTGAGATATATGCATAATTACCACGTACAGTGGCTCGAACCTTATTTCGTGCAAGAACAAAATAAAATTTCAAATCGACATTGCTGCCAAACTAGAAAAGATATCAACAAAATTTAAACGCAGTAATTTAAAGAAACTCTTTATTAACTATTATGACAAAGAAAAATTTACTAATCTACAAAAACAAAACAACTTTTCAAATAAAAATAAAAAAAAGAGGCACTTCTGAAGCTTATTTCGTGCAAGCACTTTAATGTTCAATAACTTAACTATTTCTTAATTTTTAAACTTTTTTTTAGCTCCTATCCGTTTGTTAAGGGCTTTAAATTAATTTCATAAAGATTTCAACATTTTTCTAGTTGTTTTAACGTGTATTTTAGCCCACTTCTGCAGTAAAAAAATCTTCAGGTCATTTTCGTTGGAAAATCCACTTTTTCGAATCTCCAAGTCCAAAATTTTCAACAATTGTTCAATAAAATTTAAGTCTGGAGACTGTGTTGGCGTATTAATCCCATTGAGACAGTTCTAGATCAAGAAAGGGCTACAAAAAAGGGCCGGGTTGCACCAAACCAAATATTCAACGATCTCGAGGAGCGCTGTTTTGTCCGGAAAACTAAGGAACACCTCAAGCTATCGGTTTCAAAAATTGCTGCGCAGATTGAGATCGAAATTGTCAACAAATTTTACCCAAATACAGTTCGGAACATATTGCACCACCATAACTTTAATGATCAAGTTGCATGAAAAAATATATTCAAAAGTATACAAATATGATGCCTTGGCTCAAGTTCGCCATGGTGTTAGAAATTCGGCCGATTTATTTCTGGAATGACGAAATTTAAGCAGACGAATCAATTTTTAATTATTTTAGGTTGGTTGGAAGACGCTAAGTGAGGAGATACGAAGATGGAAACTAAAAAGTTAAAAGTAATGCATTGGCACGGCGGTGACCATGTCATGGTTTGGGCTTATATGGCTGCATCCGGGGTCGGGAACTAAGTTTTTATTGCCGGTATAATGAATGTTAATATATATTTAACAAATTACAAAGAAAGTTTGGTGAAAAGTGTCAATAACTTGGCTAAATGGAATCGATTTAGATTCAACCAAGAATATGACTCAAAGCCTATTGCTAGAAATTTTTGTTTTGGTTGATCTAAAACTGTCCCAATGGGTTTTGGCGGTGATACCCGTTACCACAGCAACTCCAGAACGATCATTTTCGACTTTGAGGAGAATGAAAGATTATCTGAGAAACACGATGGGTCAAGAGCGTCTCAATGGTCTTGCATCTTTGAACATTCATCATCGCATAACTTTGACTGAAGACGAAATTCTCAGAAAGTTTTTTGAAAAACCTCGGAATTTTAAGAGTGACTAGAACCGTTTGTGGATCATATATAATATTTTTTCTTGATTTATTATTCGAAAATAAATTAAAATTTGTGTAAAACATTCAAAAAATTACGAATTTTTATTAATAACTTTGTGTTTCAACTCCACCAACATGCCCAATAAAAGCATAAAATTTGAAAGTATATGATCCCATGGGGGGGGTCCGGACCCGAAAACCCCCCCCGTGGATCCGCCACTGCTACAGTGGCTCGCAGCTTATTTCCTAAAAAAGTTCCGGTAAATGTTTACAAGTGCGGTGCACAGTAAGTGCCTATTTTCGCCAATTTTTCTAAAAAAAAATTTTTTTCCAGTGTAACGCCCGCATTATAAGCCGACATTTAAAGCTCAATATCTCGCAAACGGTGCGAGATATCGAAAAATTTTGTTTATTAAAAAGTGTTTATTTTGGCCCAATTACCCAAAATATGTCCTCAAATCTTGGCGCCCCGGAAACTAAAATCGTGCCTAACTTATTTATTGAATTAAAGCGATTTTCTTAATCATAAAAAAATAAATTGTTTAATAAAAACAAAATGTACAGGCTTTTGACTTTTCCTACTACAATTCATACCTTTCTCATTCGTTAGAAAAGTAGGGTTATATTGTTCAAATTTTACCAAGGATCCCTATTTTTTTTCAAAATGATATGAAGCCTAAAAACTTGTAAATGAGTTAAAACATTTATTAGAAAAATAAAATAAAAAGGAGTTTGAAATCCCTAGGGAGGGGCAGCTGCCCCTCCCTTCCCCCCCTTGGCAACACCCTTGTGTGCTGGCGTTATAACGGATCTAAGGGGAGCGAAAGGGGCAAGTGCCGGGAGCCAAATCTAAGGGGCGCAAAATCGTATTTGACTTACACTGTATATTTCGAAAATTTATGTTCATGTAACAAAATATGTAATGAAAAAAAAATTTTTCAAATTTTCGACTATTGTTTAATTTCTATGGCAGCTATATGATTATAGGACTTGGAAGTGAAAAGTGCGATTTTAGCTCAAAAAATCGTTGTTTATTTTTTAAAAATAGTAAAAAATAAAAAATTAAAAAAAACTCTTCCTGATTACCTGTGTATTTATGTGGAGTCTTTGTGTTAAAAATTTGAAAAGGATCGGTTCTGTAGATTTTGATGTTCACCGACTTTCAAAATAACGTTTTCGGGAAAATTGACTCAAAGTATTTTTATACGTTAAAATATTATACGTCAAAATTCGGTCGTTTAAAACGATGCGTTAGTTTGACTCTGACAACAAATTTTTACACAATATTCTTAACATATTGGTCTTTAGAAATAAAAAAATTCAAAAATATGTAGTTATGTTAGTGCAATATGTTTCATGATGTATTTGGGTAACATTTGTTAAGAGTCTTAATCTCCGCAGCTATTTTTTATTATTATTGCGATGTCAGCTCATTAACAGGGTGTCAGAGAAACTGCATAGCTTCTTAAAGTCAATCCCGCGCCTCCAACGAAACGGGCATTGCTAGCGTTCGTATCATCTTCAAAAACTGGTAGTCCGACACATGGTACAATTATATATATATAACTTATTATATATATATAATTGTACCATGGTCCGACATATGGGACTTGCAGTCTCAGCACGACCAAATCGTCATCGCCCTGCTTTGGGAAAAACTTGAGGCGATGGGTTAGACTCACTACTTAGGATTGAAAGAGAGCGCTGTTGCCGCACATTTTTCGAGCCTGCGCAGATCTGGGATCCAAACAACTCGAGCTTCACTTTCTACGGCTTCGAATGTCAGCAGGCGCACAAACCCGTAAAATAAGTGAACATTTTTAAACTGTCTTTTATTCGTGTACGATAATAAAAATAAATTATGAAGACAAATATTTCTGCGTCCAAATTCTTTGATAACTGTACGACTACGTACGTTAAAAGCGTCCCCAGCTGCCAGTTTGGTTGCCACCTCCCACGTTTCTCTCCGAGTTTCCAGCACCGTTATTTCCAAAGCCTTCGCGATTGTTTCCATATCCTCTTGCATTATTTCCATAATCCCCGCTGTTTCCATATCCCCCTCCATTACCTCCGTAGCCTCCTCCAGCATTATCATATCCTCCTCCATTATTTCCATACCCTCCTCCATTATTTCCATACCCTCCTCCATTATTTCCGTACCCTCCTCCATTATTTCCATATCCAAAGTTGTTTCCGTATCCTCCTCTACTATTTCCATATCTTCCTCGACCAGTTCCAAAGCCACCACCTCCCCCCGCGGCCGTAACCTCTACTACCAAAGCGTCCTCCATCACCGCCGCCGCTGTCGAAGCGTCCCCTTTTCGCGGGTCCACCGCCGGCACTAGACTGCCGAGATTGATGCGGCAGGATGCCAGAGTCACGCTTTATTTTGTAGTCACCGGCGCTCTTGACGCACAGGTTCTTGACCACGCTGACCAATTTGGCGTAGGGCTCCTCCAGCTGAAGTACATCGCCCGGGTTATCGCATGCAACAGTAATCAGATCCTCTAAGGCCGGCTTAAGAGCCCCGATTTTGGCTGCATGTTCTGGCTCCATTTCGAAGTTTACCCAGTTGTCTACGCGCACAATGCTGTTTGCCGCCAAATCGATCTTTCGCGATCCAAACAGCATTACCTGAAGAGGCGATACCATCGAAAGTTGCTTGCAGGAAACGGCTCGCGTGCGGATCTTCTCCCCAAACACGAAGAATGGATACGGAAAGGTGATGGCCAAGTTGCTGCAGTTCACCGAAGTCTTGTGAAGCAGCGCCGCCTTGGACTCGGTGGTCAGCACCTTACGCTTCTCCTTATGCACGCAAATATTGGGGTAGAGGCCCAGGCACAGCAGAGCGAGCGACAAGTCCAGCACCGGGTCGTCCCCATTAGCATCGGCATCCACATGGTGTGGTATCATGCACTCTTCCGGAAATCCGGCCTGTTGTAGAAGATCCAGTAACTGCTGCTTGGCATCCCACATGACGTTCATAGTACTCATTTGAAGACCCTTCCAGTCGCAGAACCGGGCTTCTTCGTGTTCACCACGCTGTTTTGCGCGCTGCCACATTTGCAAGGCCACGATCATGGCCACATGATCGGAACACTTGCTTCCGCTCAATGCTTTCTGGTGATTTGCCAATCGGCGCTGGCCAATGTCCAATGAGAACACCTCAGAAAAAGTGCTGGAATAGGAGGCCATGCTGGCCACCAAATCGGCACAGCCGAACACCGCCCCGAGCACCATCATCTTCCCCAGTCTCGGCTCAATTGGAAGACGAGCCAGTAGCCGACCTAAAGGTGTTAGTTCTTCGTTGATGTCGAGACAGCGCATTTCACGTAACAATACCTCTGCTTCGATGACAGCATCTACTGGCGGTGGTTCTAGTGCCTTTGATAGAAAGTGGTGAATGGAACCCAGTCGGAGCAATTTAATGGTGAGAGCCATCTCGTGCAGCGGCGTGCGGAACATCTCTGGCGTTAGGGTGTCCTCAAGCACTTCGAAACGTGCGCGCGAACAAAGCGTAAAGCAAAAGCCTGGGCGGACTCGACCGGCTCGCCCCTTGCGCTGTTCCAGGTTGGTCTTGCTGGCCCAAACGGTGGCGTAACTTGTTAGGTTGTTGTGCGAGGTGAAGAGCTTCATGCGCGCCTTGCAGATGTCAATAACAAAGACAATATCGTCGATGGTGATAGAAGTCTCTGCGATGTTTGTAGAGAGAATGATCTTGGTCACTCCTTCTGGCACTGGCTCGAAAACTTTTCGCTGGTCATCGCGTGGAATCTGTGAGTGGCACGGCAGAATGCGGTACTGTGAAGAATTGCCGAAAGTATTCGTACTTTGTAGGAACTTCATAAGAGCAAATATAAGGTTCCAGCCGGGAAGGAAAACCAGGATAGCGCCAGGAATGTTTTTTGACTTGATGTGCACCAGCAATGCCTCCAGCAGCTCGAAGCTTACGTCCGATTCGGAGAGCATGGCCATTGCATTTCGCGTTTTTTGTGAGTACTTGTCCTCGCACACCTTGTTAAAGTTGGTCTCCGCTTCTTCCTTATTCTCGGAAAGCTGCAGCTGTTCTTCATCCTCAGCCTCCTTTCGCTTTCGACGCGATTCCACGGAGGGCACAAACTCTGTCATCTGGAGGATGTCTTCCAAGAAGAACTGCTGAACTGGAAAAGCTCTGCCGGGCACCTCTAGTACGGGACAGCCGCCAAAATAGTTTGAAAAGAGCGTAGTGTCAATGGTCGCCGACATGAGTATAACTGGGAAGAAAGAAAATTTGATTTAAGCTGCATTGTCGTCTGGTATTCAAATTTCACCTATTTCGTTGGGTTTTACTAAAAATCTAAATCCTAACCTACGTTATTCGGTAGTTTTTTATACTCTTGCAGAGCAAAGGGTACAATAATGTCAGTTAAAAGTTTGCAACGTAGTGAAGGAGACACCTCAAACCCCATAAAGAATATATTATATATTCTTGATCAACATCTTACGATCTGAATCGAAATACGTCTCTCGTATGGCAGCGATCTGATATAGTCGCCCGATCCGGCCCGTTCCGACTTATATACTGCGTGCAATAAGTACACAACTTTTGGTAAAGTTTTAGCAAGATAGCTTTAAAACTGAGAGGCTAATATTCATAGAAACAGACAGGACAGACGGACAGACGTACAGACCTTTTTCGATTCAGATCGTGGTGCTGATAAAGAATATATGTATATACTTTATGGGGTCTGAGGTGTCTCTTTCACTACGTTGCAAACTTCTGACTGAAATTATAATACCCTCTGCTCTGCAAGGGTAGAAAAATGATAACGTCCTTTCTTGTTTTTAAAACGTATTTACTAAAGGACCATGAATTCTAATTTTCGCCGCAGTCTTGAGCTCACCATGCAAATCCGGGTAAGTATCAACCATGTCGCGAAGAATGACAAGCAGGAAGTCACTGTTGACGTCTCGCTCGTGAATTTCGTCAACGATAATGTGCGAGACTCCTCGCAAGCCCGCCTCTAGCTTACGCAGCAATACGCCCACGGTGCAGAAGAGAATGCCTCCGTAGGGCCGCGGAAAAACTGACTCGAATCGCACCGAGTACCCGACGGTGTCGCCCAACTCCTCGCAACGCTCGCGGGCAACGCGCTCCGCCACAGAAATGGCTGATATGCGGCGGGGCTGGGTCACGTAAATATTAGCGTAGCCGCCCTGGCCGGAAGATATGTAGTCGTCGAGAATGTACTGGGCTATTTGGGTGGTCTTGCCGCAGCCTGTGTTACCGCGGATAATTACCACTGGGTTTTCATTAACGGCGGTCAGAATTTCGGATCGCATGGCCGCAATTGGCAGTTTGTCGCGAAACTCAAGAAATTGTCGATACTCGGCGTCATTCTGACGGCGTTCTCGCAACGCGATCTCAAAGTCCGTTGATAGGTCATCAATTGAAGCGGTCGCCAGATCGCCTTCGTCGATGTTGCAGGCATGCCAGGTGTTCCAGTTTGGCTGGGGTGGTGCCCATGGTATTACCGAGCTCTCATGGCGCTTCTCGCCTTCTTCTTGAATAGAGTCGATGCGGTTTACCTGAAAAAATATAAGTTTATTTAAGTATTCTGAATACATATCGCGAAAATATTAGTAAACACACAATTTTGCCAATATTTTTATTTAATGTATAAGCAAAAACTTATATGCCCTGCAGTTAGAGCTTCATCTTATTAAAACTTAAATTTCATAGGGGAAATCGAATAACAAGGAAAATATAATTGTTTCGACGCTGTTTTTTATGTAACGAGCATTGAATTACAAATTAAATATCATAATTATCGAGTCAAGATATCAAGAATCAGAAAAAATATGAGAAAATTTTAGATAGTCAAAGAATTACAGTAGACCTTTTTGCTAACGTTGTATGAAACAGACTATAAAGGGAAAACATCGTTATACGACAAGGGCCTTCTAGTTTTCCTTTTGAAGTCCGATTGATTGAACGTCAGCAATAAGGGTTTTTTAACTTGTATGAACAGCAAGTCGATGAATAGTTGATCAATCTTTTAGTTTATTTAGATTAATTAAGAATTTTAAAGTGGAACAAAAGTCCTTCCTTGTAACTTCTACAATAACGAAACATTTAACACATGCAAACATTCAAACTAGTCTGTAAATCCAATTGATTGGTTGATTCTGAGATAAGCCAGTAAATTTTAGTTATCGAAATGTAAAATATTATAAATTTGGAATCACTCATGGATTTAAAACACTTACAATTAGCGAAATTGGAGCTCCGTCCGGCTCGATTTTAATATTACGAGGATTCACGACAGGAAGGTCGAGCACTTCGATCACTTTCTCTATGTCATCGACCAGCTCTGGCGACAGGTTAACCGGGTATGGCTTCAGCTCCTCGTCCTTCTTCTTCTTTAGGGTTCCGCTAAACGGCTCGATTACCTTCAAATGGAATAGCTGGCGCACCAAAGAAAGGGCACACGACTTGCTGGCCGACTTCTTGTTGGAGCCTGTCTCACGGGCGGTCACCTTGCGCTTCAGCGCCGGAACGTAAATGGATAGCTCGGCCATGAAGCTCCTGAATAAGCAAGGCTTTTAGAGTCAATTCCCGATCGAAATGTGGGCCAATGCCCGGAACTTACCCTCGGGCTGTAGGCAGCACACACTGTGGGCAACCGTGAACAGCTGCAGAAAAGCCTACTGGCAGAGCGATGTGGTGCTTTTTTTTTATTGTTGCTACCTGAATCGCTTGCACAAGAGTCCGTTTCACTCACAGACCTCATGCAAGGCAATCGGTTGCGTTTCTAGCAGTTCAGTGTATCGTACCACGTCGCTCTGCTAGCCCAGCTTTCCACATTTTGCACATAGACCCCCAAAAGACACCGGGCTGCATTCCGGATCTGGGCCTACGCCAAATTTGGCCAAATCCGGAATGCAGACTTTAAAAATATCGGAAGACATACCTAGCGTGGTCCGGTCCCACTGGGGTATACTTGTAGTCGTCGCGGATGTTGTTTGCCTGCTTGTACATGTTTAGGCGATCCTTCGCGTTTTCTATGGTCCAGTTTCCGTGGATGGCGGCATTGACGTCGATGGACTCCGCCTCGTTCATGTCCTTCTGCTCCTGAACATGGTCGATTATGTTAAAGCGGCTACCGCCGGTGCCGTCCTGGTGGTTCAGTGGGCGATATGCCTCGCCCAGGTCCTGTGGACCAGACAGGCCACCGAAGACGCGCTTCTGCTGACCGCTGCTCCCTGGCGCTCCCTCCCCCTGTCCACCAGCCCTAGTTCCCGCCCCAGCGGAAGCACCAGAATCTACAGGCACATCCTGGACATTAAGCTTGCCCACGCGCACCAAATAGTTCACAAAGTCGCGACAAGCGTTTTTCTCGGCATCCTTCTTGCTTGTGGAGTTCCCCACGCCGATGTAGTTGTTCTGGTCCACACGTACCTCGCACAGAAAACGCTGACGATTCTTGGGACCTGAAACAATTTTTTTGTTAATTAAGTTTTTAATAATATAATATATTAATACAGTAGCAAAATGCCGGCTGGCTGGTTTGGCTTAGACCACTCACCCGTTTGGCGAACATCAAACTTAGGTTCAACACGCGACTTTGCGCAAAACTCATACAGAAAAGACTTTATATCCATTTTCTGTCCTTAGATAAAAATTTTACTTCAATCACCACGATTAAATGAAAAATTTGTATTCTTTTGATCGATATTTTGACTTACGCTTCTGAACGGGGAATGAAAATAATGCCAAACATAAACCGCGCTAACGCGTTCTTAAATACGCAAAAATTGGTTGGGGGAAATATAAAGGGTATTCACAGAATAAATAAATAGCTTACTTATCGACATTAAAACTTTCTGGAAATGTAACAGCGTTACATTTTTGAAAGTCACAATGATGTATATCAACAAAACTAAGGATGTTACTGATTTATGATAACTTTTTAATGCCATAACTACTATTGTTAACCACTTACAAATTATATCTAAAAACTTTTGTTTGGAAGTTATCTATTTGTTTATTGTTCTATGATGTTTTTTCTTACAAAATTTAAATATGTATGTATGGAATACCAGGCACGATTTTAGTTACGTAAGATTTGAGATTACGAGATATCTAGATAAACGGTGCGATAAATCGAAAAAATTTATTTATTAAAAAGTTATTATTTTGGGCCAATTAACCAAAATATTTCCTCAGATCTTGGCACCCCAGTAACTGAAATCTCCCTGAATACCAGGTCGAATTGTGAAAAACTTCTAGCGAAACATTTTAAAGAAGTTAATTTTAGCTTATCACGAAATTTGAAGTATTAAATATAAGGACGTTTCACAGTAAAGTTCTTGAAAATGTATATCTTGGTACAAATTCTTCTGTAGGAAACAACCTAGTATTTTATTCCAAAGACGACATTGTTCGTGAACAGTAATTTTTTAAGTTGCAATTCAGTATTTCTGTATTTCAGTATTTTCACCTTAGTCTAAAGATATTTTTTATACAATCCCAGTACGGTCTCATTGTCTCTTTGCAACGCTGTGAAACTATGGGAAAAGAGGGCTATAACTAAGTTAAAAATGTAAACGCGGATGCCAGGCCAGCTGAAAAATAGTGCACTCGCGAGCTACCCATTTAATCGCCGATTTTTAATCGTTTCCGCGGCCTCCGTCGACCTCATCCTGCGCTCTACTTGCTTGCAAGCAGCTCCAGCATCACTCACACACCCAACATAGCAGTCACCTACAAGAGCGAATGTAGATAAAAGTGAGAAAACACTCACGCACGCACATACACAAGCAGACGCTTAGTCGTGGGCTAGCATTTAATTTAGTTAGTGCTCAGTAAAACAGAGAGTTGAGCGAAAACGCAACAGCAACTTGCACAAATTGTAAGCAAAGTGGTAGCGGGAGAGGGGATCGAGTGAGAGCGGCGATTAGTGCCAACACCCAAGCTCTGGTCTCTGAGCGACAAACAATAAACAAACAGTGAAAGTAACAGTAAACGCACTCGCTGCAATTTTGCTTCCATTGATTGCATTTAACTCGTGGACTCGGCAGCAGTACTTCTCATCCTACAATGGGAAATTGTCTCACCACCCAGAAGGGCGAACCCGACAAGCCCGCCGATCGCATCAAATTGGATGACCCGCCCACCATCGGAGCGGGTGTAGGCGTGCCTCAGATTGCCATGCCATCTCACGCCGGACAGCCGCCAGAGCAGATTCGTCCGGTTCCCCAGATCCCGGAGAGCGACACTGCCGGCGCCAACGCGAAGATTTTCGTCGCCCTGTACGACTATGACGCCCGAACGGACGAGGATCTAAGTTTCCGAAAGGGAGAGCACCTCGAAATATTAAATGACACACAGGTGAGTGCAGATTCGTACACACGCATATTCCTCTCGGTTGCTCGGTGTGCCCATTATATTGTCCTTGTAAAAAATTTGTTTAAAATTTTTTTTTAAAGCATACAAATACTGTATAAGCCGTAAGTTATTTTCATGTTGCAGAGAACTCACGTATAAACATAAAATGAGTGAGTAAGCCACGAGGGAATGTTAGTGTGAGTGTGAGTGGGAGAGAGCGCCTGATAAAAAGTGCAAAAACATGATAACGGCGCTTGTCGCATTTTTGACTATTCGCTGTTTGAATTAAGGGACACCGTTTCATTTACAATCGGATTTGGTAATATTAGGGTGGATTAGGGTGAATTTCTATAGATGCAACAAAGTTTTGCGAGAGCCAAAGGAAGCATAATAAATAGTCAATTATAAGCAATATCGTCAAATGTGAGTGAAAAATCATATTCCGCTCCTTATATGCAAAAAAAATAAAAAAGAATACCTTACCTTGAATACTTAGGCTAAAAAACGATATCTGACTTCAAGATGGCTTTATATTTATTTAAAAGTGATTTCTTACTTAATAGCAACTAAATAAAATTAATGTGGCAACGTGTTCTTAATTTTAACAAAGCTACCCACCATTTCTTTTGTGCATAATTTAAGACATTAGAACATCGGGTATTAACAATTTGCGTGTCTTAATTTCTCAATTCATTGAACACAAAAAGCGGCCCATGCAATACCCCATTGTGGACGGGATTAGTTTACGAACTTGCAGTTTGGAGCTGATGTGCATTCCATTCGAAAGCTTACTGAAAACTTTAGTTGGACTACTTATAAAATTGAAAAAAAACTTGGAGATTAATATAAGATTTTTTTTTGCTTACATGCATTAATAAAGGCAAAAAAAATTGTGTCATGCTAAAAAGAAATAATTAAAAATGCATGTTTCCAAAAGCTTATATTTGTTATAATCTCATAATAATTAATTCAAGCAATTGAAGAATGTCTTCTTGAATGGTAAATCAAAATTAAAATATTAACTCTTATATATTTATTTTATATTAATGATTTCCACTTCTATTCTGAATTGTTTTTTTTTTATACCCTTGCAGAGCAAAGGGTGTTATAATTTCAGTCAGAAGTTTGCAACGCAGTGAAGGAGACACCTCAGACCCCATAAAGTACAGTCGAATCCCGATAATTCGTACCCCGCTAAATCGAAATTCGCGATAATTCGTAAAAAATTCTGTTCCCTTGAAAAAAAATCCCTTGAAAAAAATCTCGATAAATCGAATTCCCGTCTAATTCGTAAATAAAGTGATCCCCTTGCCATTTCGAATTATCGGGACTCGACTGTATATATATTCTTGATCAGCATCACGATCAGAATCCAAATACGTATGTACGTCTGTCTGTCTGTCCGTTTCTCTTCAAACTAGTCTCTCAGTTTTAAAGCTATCTTGCTGAAACTTTACCAAAAGGTGTGTAGTTATTGCACGCAGTATATAAGTCGGAACGAGCCGGATCGGCCGACTATATCGGATAGCTCCAATACGAGAGAACAAAATAAAAAATTCTCAGGGAGCTGTTTTTGATCGGATCGACTTGATTGCTTCCAGATGGCATAAATCGTCATAGCTTCGATGTTGTTTAGCCTTTATGTATTTTGTTGGGCATATTTAATGACTGCAAGGGTATATAAGCTTCGGCTTGCCGAAGCTAGCTTCCTTTCTTGTTTTTATTTCATAACTGCTAGCACAAGCACTGATCCACAGAAATATATGTTGGTGATCGCTGGTTTATGCTAGATGAATAAAAATGCAATTTGTTGTTACTTATCCATGAGTAAACGCGCACGCAGTACAAGTAAAAACCACGGTTTCACCATGAAAATTTTACCACCCAACTCCCGCCTACAGACACTTTCGCTCCAACGATGCGTCATACTCTTTGGAACTGTCCAACCACGATTGCGTACTTTTCTCTGATAATTTCGACAACTGTTGGTGCAAATAAAGAACTGCAGCTTGTTGAACTGTCTTTTGCAAATATAATAAACATATAAGATATATTAATAAATATGAATGATTATTTTACTATGATTAGATAATCATAAGGAAAACTTTTTAAATCTTGCATCGGGTTATATAATTTCATTCAGAAGTTTGTAACGCAGTAAAGGAGACACTTCAGACGCCATAAAGTTTATAAATTCTTGATCGTCATAACCATCTGAAGCGAACAAGACGTGTATGCCTGTCCGCTTATATGTAAACTAGTCTCTCAGTTTTAAAGCTATGTCAGGCAGACTTTATTTTCGGCAGATGATCTTTAAAAAACAATCGGATGACTATATCGTACAGCTGTCGCGGGAAAGATCGAAAAATCAATATAGAACTAATTGAACAAATAAATTTTAAAGTCGTTGTTTTTTTTTAAAAAGCATGATTTTTTTAAGATCGAGTTTTTTAACGATACGAATAACATTTTGTGAAAATTAGAGGTCTATCGTATAGGTGCCATGTGAATGCCTAACAAAAGGAATCCGATGAGTCTTTTATACACTTAAGTTCTAACTGCAAGAATTTATCAGCTTCGACTCGCCGAACTAGCTTTCTTTTTGTTTAAAAAAAAAACAGTGAGTAATGATTTCGAAAAATCATTTAATATTAATTTCAACAAGCCAACTGAGTTTCAGAACGAATTCACTTGTGCCAGTTATGTGTTATTTACTTTCAATCGAGAATAGCTTATCGCTGTTGTAGAATTTTCTGGTGTGCACATAATGCTCTCAAGATGGGCAGAATTATCACGTTTCGTTGATATCGTTTTGTAGGGTATTCTTAGTGCCATATTTCTAGCTGATTGGGCTTCAGCTTGCATTCATTGAGTGTGATGAAACGGAATATAGATTGTAATAGAGAGGAAATTAACCCAACTGCAACAACACTTGAAACCAGATGCAGTAGCAAATTATGGTGCATGTTTATTTGGATGATTGGAGTGCTAAAAGATTTATATTTTTATCCATTGGAGGTCAACACCCACAATTGCCTCCCTTTCTAACTGACTATGTTGTGTCATAAGATCCAATGGGCGACAAACGCCGCTCCTCGCCACCCACAAAATTGTATTTAAAGACTTTACGTCAAAACAGCCATGACCACCTTACACTGGCAGACGGCGCTAAAAGCATGACGTCTGTCGTTGGCCACTGGCCAAAAGTTGCGCACTCCCCGCGCATTAAAATCACACTCGTATTTCTAATGGCAATCGGACTTATAATTTAAAGAGGAATGTGCAAGTGTTCTGTAGTTTGCTAGGGACAATTTTAAGGGACAGTAGTAAGTACTCATGCTCAATACTAGCTGGATAGCAGTTCCGCGGTTGGAGTTTCC